ACACACACACACACACACACACACACACACATATATTTACATACAAGAGGTAGCATGTAATACACACTGTTCTGTACCTTGATTTTTTTTGCTTAGCATGGATGGTCAGGCACTGTGTCTTACAGATGTTAACTTACTTTTTCATAACAACCTTATGAGATAGGTATTATTATTTGCTCTTTCTTACTGTTAAGAAATTGAGGCAGTAGTTAATAGAGAGAGGCAGTAGCAGGGTTAACAGACTTGCTCAAGGGCACACAGCCAGTAAGTGACATGGCTGGGATTCCAAACCAGGCAGGTATTCCTAAGTCTGGATTATTGACCACTATGCCATACTGCCTCTTGGAGAGCCTGCTATGATCCTCAGAGAACTTCATAGAGCTTTGCACTGTGTTCTGTTAAATGAATGTACACAATTTGGCTGGGTGTGGTGGCCCACATCTGTAATCCCAGTGCTTTGGGAGCCGAGATGGGAGCTCACTGGAGCCCAGGAGATGGAGGTTAAGGTGGGCTGTGATGGCATCACTGTACTCCAGCCCAGGTGATAGAGTGAGACCCTGTCTCTAAAAAAAAAAAGGAAAATTAAAATTAAAGGAAATGAATGTACATAACTTTATCAAGCCTCCTTTTATGGACACCTGAGTTATTTCCAAAACTTAGCTATTATAAACCATGATGAAATAAGTAACCATGTACACTTTGGATATTTGTTGAATGAATTTCCTGGGGGCAGATTGCTGGGTGAAAGGAAAATGCATTTGTGACTTTGCCAGACCCTGCCATGGGGTTGCACCACTTTACACTCCCAGTGGAGTGCCTGTTCCCCTCAGCCTCTCCAGCAGATTATGTCATTAAACTTTAAAATTTCTGCCAAATTTATGGGTAAAAATTTTTAACTCAGAATGACTTTAATTTTCACATTTAAAATAATGAGTTCGTCTGAGCATCTTTTTCTTTCTCTGCTGCCCAGGCTGGAGTGCAGTGGCACAATCACGGCTCACTGCAGCCTCCACCTCTCAGGCTCAAGCGATCTTCCACTCTTGGCCTCCTGAGTAGCTGGGGCTACAGGTGTAGCCCTACCAAGCCAGGCTAATTTTTTAAATTTTTGGTAGAGACAGGATCTCACTATGTTTTCCAGATCAATGTCAAACTCCTGGGCTCAAGCGATCCTTCCGTCTTGACCTCCCAAAGTGCTGGGATTACAGGCATGAACCACCGCGCCTGGCCCTGGGCATCTTTTTTTTTTTTTTTTTATATTCAGGAGCCATTTAGCATTTCCTTTTATGTGGACTGTTTATTCATATCCTTTGCTCATTTTTTTTTTCTACTGGGTTTCTTTACTTGTTCTTCCTGATTTCTTATTGCTGGCCTAGAGCTTATGATGATGCACCAGTGCTAAGCCTTCTTTGCAACAGTGTCTACACCCTCAGATTTTCAGCAGAAGGTTGTTAAGGCTTTTCTTTCCTTTTCTTCGGTGTCTGCTGTGTTTTCATGCGCACAACCTCTCTTGAGGCAGGGGGAGCTGAGGCAGGTGGAAAGGGTGATGGTGCCAAGGCACCAACCCTGGAACAGCCAGAGGCTCCGGGGAAAGGTGTCAGTCGGGATCTCCAAGTAGTCTGGCGTTGCTTAGGAGAGCACAGCCGCTCTGATGGTGGCACTACGGTTCCGGACCTGTTGGGTCTCCGCGAGGAGACCGGGTCGGGGCTGGGAAGTTCACTCACCCCTAAAGGGAGAGGCACGGAGTCCAGGAACACCCCATGGGCGTCCCTTTCCCATCCCAAGTGTGGAGACTCACAGGGTCCTGGTCCTAAGCTCGGGACCATGAGAGACGCAGTTGGTCCCGAGTTCAGGACTAGGGGTCCCCTTAGCTCCTCAGATCCCGCAGAATCCCGCCTCTGCCCCATGGGAGCCAAGGCCAGGCCGCCCGAGGTGCTGTCCGCCGGCGGGAGGCTGTGTTCACTACCGACGCCTCCCAGGCTGGCGAGCCAGCAGCGCCCCGGGGCTGCGCTCCCGCAGAGCTGGTCCCTGCCCTGCCCCTACCCGCAGCCGCGCGAGTGGAACCGCATCCCGCTCTTTCGTTTTCGTTTCCCGGAAGGAAAGCGATTACTGGAGAGCCTCGGCGCGCCTGCCCGCCTAGGGAAGACCCGGGTGCACACGCCTTGGCGCTCCCCGAAAGAGATTTCCTCCCACACATCCTTCCAGTTCTTGGAGCCAGGTTAGGGGTTTAGGGTAGGAGGACTCGGGAGCACAGTCTTAGGGCCCCAGCAGCCACAGCCGGGAGAGCGCTCGCAACAGAAAACCGGTGGCTTCCTCATCTCTACCTGTAATGCAGGTAAGAGCCTGGCGGCTGAACACGCAGCGCGTCCGCGGAGCCCCCTGCTCCCTCATCCTCTCCCCACCACCTCGATTTCCAAACCTATTTTATCAGACCTTTTACCTGGTGGGAATCTCTCTTTCCAACACATTCCTAAACCTCACAGCCATCCCTCACTCACCTCCCTTTCCACCTCCAGATGCGGGTCACTGCCCCTGACTCTCGGTGTCATAGACAGCTCCGAAGGCAACACGCACAGTCCCTGCAGGCCCTTTCTGCAGTCCCCTTACCACTGGTCGCCACTACACCAACCAGATGTGAGGTCCCTGGAAGTTCCTGCCCAAGCCTGGTCCTCACAGCTGGTGAACGCATTCACGCAGGGATCCCCTCTTTAGCAGCCCCTCCCCACTCACCGGTTTCCTAGGAGCCTCAGAACTGCCCCCAGAGCTGGAGCTCCGTCCCACTCCAAGGCCTTTCTCCACTCCCTTCTCGCCAAGACCCATATCCATTTATGAGACCCTTCCCTGGCCTCCATGCTGAAACCCAGGAGTCTGATCCTCAGCAGCTCCATGGCTGGCATTTCCTAGTCAGTTACAGCCCCGAAATTCCCCACTCCTCTTACTTGGAAGAGGGTTGAGGGGTCAGTCGACAAGAGGCCTCCTGCGAGTCCTACGCAATTCCTGTGCCTTGGGCCCCTTCTCCAGCAAGGCAAGCTTCCCTTCCCCACCACGTGGCAGCCCCTGAGGTTTGATTACTTGGGATACAGCACCAACGCGGGAGTTGGTGGGGCACAAATGAAGTGAGAACGACCCTGAAAGCTGTTGAATCCCCTTTCGCGGCAGCCAAGGCTTCTGGAGTTTACTTTGTTGGCTCCGATCCAAAATCTTTCTCAGTTCTTCTTGGTTCCCAAGAGATGAATGTAAAGCTGCTGACGATCCTAGAGTGAAAAATGACTTGGTGGAACTGGTTTCGCTTTTCCTTTGAGTGCTGTGGCAGCCTGTGGCTGAGCAGGAGCCCCAAGGAGCCTCCTGTTCCTACAAAATCCTGCCACCTTTTTTGTTTTCTCATCGAGATGGAAGAGCCCCGTCATCTCTGGAGGCCATGCTGATTGTCGAATTGTAAAGATACAGGCTTCCAGTAATGAGACCTTAGGATTCAGAAATGTAACCTTTCTTCTTCTCTTTTGAAAATAGTGTTTGTTTGTTCTGAGACGGAGTCTTGCCCTCTTGCCCAGGCTGGAGTGCAGTGGTGCGATCTTGGCTCATTCCAACTTCCGCTTCCTGGGTTCAAGTGATTCTCCTGCCTCAGCCTCCGGAGTAGCTGGGATCACAGGCTCCATCAGCATGCCCAGCTAATTTTTGTATTTTTCGTAGAGACGGTGTTTCACGATGTTGGTCACGCTGGTCTGAGACTCCTGACCTCAAGCAATCCATCCGCCTCAGATTTTCAAAGTGTTGCGATTGCAGGTGTGAGCCACCACGCCCGGCCTGTTTGTTTATTTCTGATGTAAGGTCTTTTGATCCTGACCCCTCAGGTTTCCTGCGCTGTCCTCGCCAAGGATCCAGTGAGTATTCCTAGGCCCTCAGATTTCAATCAGACAAGCCTTGGCAGGGGATCCCTCTGGAGGAGTTAGCCACATTTATGGAAAGCTTGAATTAGAAGGGTGTCATTTATTGTGTCCACCGGGTACACGATGTTGATGAGACTGAGTTGAAGATATACATGGTTCCTACCTTTAAGGTTGATGCAGTGTATTGGCAGAGATAAACACTCTTTCCCTTCCAAAAAATTCTTCAGACATTTAAAGATGGCTGAGCCTTCACCAAGATGCTCTTCTTCAACTGCCCTGGTTTTTCTCTCTCTAGGAGGGAGAATCGGCCGGTTCTCCTATAAGCCCTGTGGCAGTCATGCCTCCCCTAGGCACCCACGTCCAAGCCAGATGTAAAGCTCAAATGGAGCTGCCGGGTGAAGCGGGTATCTGCAAGCTGCCAGGAAGACTCCGTAAGTAGAGGGGAGGAGAAAAGGTGACTTTTAAAATTAAATTTTTATTATGTTTTAGATACAGGGTCTTGCTCTATTGCTTAGGCTAGAGCGCAGTGGTGTAATCACAGCTCATTGCAGCTTTAATTTTGAGTTCCTGGGCTCAAGTAATCCTCCCATGTCAGCCTACCCAATGGCTGGGACTACAAGCACACGATGGCTAATTTTTAAATTTTTAGTAGAGATGGGAATCTCACTATATTGCCCAGGTTGGTCTTGGGCTCAGGCTATCCTGTCACCTTGGCCTCTCAAAATGCTGGGATTATAGGTGTTAACCACTACACCTGGCCCTTAAAATTAATTTTTATTTTTTAAAATAAGAGACAGGGTCTCACTATGTTGCCCAGGTTGGTCTCAAACTGGTTGAGCTCAAGAAATCCTCCCAGCTCAGCTTCCCAAAGTGCTGGGATTACAGGCATGGGCCATTGTGCCTGCCAAAATTTTATATATATTTCGTAACATAACTTTGTACCCCATAAATATATACAATTATGATTTATAATTTGTCAATTAAAAATTTAATTTTGGCCAGATGCCAAAATGAAATTACCTTCCCTCTGTTTGCTGTTTCTTTGCTGAGTTTTCTTTAGCTTTTCCTTGGTGAGAAAGTTGGAGAAGGTATACAACAGATACGGACAAATGTGGGGGCCAGGCAGTCTCCTCATTGGTAATATGAGGATTGGGATCAAATGAGTTATTGGGTGCCTTCCAGCCTAAAGACAAAGAGTTGGGGACATTGCCAGTGAAGAAGCTAGAGAGGCTGAACAGTGGGTGGTTGTATGTATGTGGAACCCTCTCTTCGATAAGTGTTTACTTTTTTTTTTTTTTTGAAATGGAGTTTCGTGCTTGTTGCCCAGGCTGGAGTGCCATGGCATGATCTCGGCTCATTGCACCCTCCATCTCCTGGGTTCAAGCGATTTTCCAGCCTCAGCTTTTTGAGTAGCTGGGATTACAGGTGCCTGCCACCATGCCCAGCTAATTTTTGTATTTTTAGTAGAGATGGGGTTTTGCCATGTTGGCCAGGCTAGTCTCGAACTCCTAACCTCAGGTGATCTGCCTGTCTTGGCCTCCCCAAGTGCTGGGATTACAGGCATGAGCCACTGCACCTAGCCTTAGTGTTTAATTTTAGTGTTACAAAAGTAGCATGTGCTTGTTGTCAAAATATAGGGAAATGACAG